ATATATATATATATACACACACACACACACACACACACACACACACACACACACACACACGCACACAGTAAATATTCAACTTTTGGGGGTTCCATTTTTTGGTACGTTCTGTACTTATTTTGTCACAACACGAGATTCTGTAGGTCTTGAAAGATCAGTCAAAATGTTCTAAAGCAACTGGGAATCTGGGGAAGTCCTTGTTTTGAAAATGCATTGCAATTAAATTGTATGGATTTGACACAAATGCTCAAATGCACGTTGGGTGTGGGCAGAGATTGTCGCATTCCCCAGATGTGGGTATTTATTTTTGTGATTATTGTACGCTCTGGCCACGTGGTAGCTTTCATAATATGTTTGACCTGTTGGTCTACTGCCTCGGTAGGCCGCTGATTGACACATGGATTGCAATTGGATTCTAAGCCCAGTGTCTGCCGTGTGACAGCCCACACCATCCCTGCTAATCACCTCATTTACTCAAGCTGCGAGACTTCTGCGCCCTGGGCCATATAATGCAGCATTGAGGCAACATCATGTCTTCGGAATCCACGATGGTTCCCTAAAACCTCTACTGCTCAAATGTTGTGGTTTTTAATTCACTCCATGTTTTTGGAATCCATTTTGTGATAGAATGTTTTTTTAAATGACTGACAGCAAATGACATTGTTAGCTCCTCACCAGTTTGGTCAGGTAAATACCCGTCACCCCAGCTGCTCATAGAGTCATGCTAATTTCCTAAATGCTTTCCGACTCACACGTCCATCATGTAGCACCGAAGAATGCGGAAAAGAATTGCATTTGACGGCACAGTTCGACCAAAAATGACGCACACCGGAATTAAATGACTACAATTAAGTGACTATTTGTCAATTGAACATGTTTTAGTGCTTCCCTTGACAAACGCGAGCTCACAAGGTTCTGTTGGTTGTGTGATAAGGTTGCCATGGTAGCTGCTGATGTGTCAGAGAGTTCAAACTCCGGTTGATGTGCAATTATTAGCCATGATGCCTGAAGACAGAATTAACCCATGGCCCTGTCTGAGCAGGTAGAGGAGTGCTCGGTGTTTAAACAAGATTAACACATTCTCATACACGCATACGCAGACAGTTCCTCACGCTCTTTTCCCCCTCCCCCTCTAGATATTGACATTCATAGGGTGGTCGCAGTCACAAACTGATTGAGAAACCACCGGGGAAAGTGAACGTGACTGACACTTTCTTGAACGTGCAGACTGTCTGTATGGGAACTTTCTGTCTTTTCGTCGCTGGTTTCACAACACAATATGCTTTTAGGATGAAGCTCTGCTGTGGTATGCAGCTACATTTACGCTTACCTTTGTTTGACCCTTGTTTGACTGACAGGCAAGTTGCCTGTTGGGTACTGGGGTGCCAGAGGCAGGTCGCGGGGTCAAATACAGTGTAAGATGGGGATTTGTGTCAAATTTGTCCTCTGTTTGAGGCTATGTTTGAGGTGTCTCTTTCACTGACGGGCTTCATCACTTGGAGTGTGAACACTTGCTGTGAGGGTTTCATCAATGGGGTTGTGCATGTGTTGTCTTTGTATAGTTCAAGTGCT